TTTTCATTCAACCTTGTCCTCTATCGCATCGTCCTACCGGGTAGGTGCAGATGCAGTCACCAAAATTCGTCAAAGCAAGGCAAGAAAAGAAAAATTTACCATCTACTTGATATGACAGAACAATAAATACGTGTAAAACAAAACCAAGTCTATGAGCGTTCCTCATGATGCTGTCCGTCCATCCTAAGCCCTCATTATATATGGTCGATTTAATTCTTCGAGCTCACCCAGAGGTGCGAAAAGCAGTCTATTTGTCGGAATGTCACATTTAGGACCAAACATCCTCCTAAAAAGAATTCATTAGTCAGCGACATAGTTCTTCAACCGAGAGACGATCAATACGAAAACGTACCTGGTATTGATTGGCAGCCCTCATTGACTTGACAACCTCATCAGCCTTGGCAGGGGTAATTTTGCGGTGTTCGGCGATAATTTGGGCGAGTGTGGTGTTGACCTCGCGAGCCATGCGGGCAGCATCACCGCAGACGTAGAAAAGCGCCTTTTTCTGGAGAAGCTCGTGGACATCCTCGCCCTTTTCCTTGAGGCGGTGCTGCACGTAGACCTTTTTGGCCGTGTCGCGGGAAAAAGCCGTGACGAGCTCAAACTTATCGCCGAGGACCTTTTTGTACTCGGCCCACTCGCTCTCGTAGAGGTAGTCCTCCTTGGCGTTACGGCTGCCAAAGAAGAGCAGCGTTTTGCCGACCTCGGCGCCGTCCTGCGCCTGCTTGGCGCGTTCTTGAACAAACGCGCGGAACGGCGCGACACCGGTGCCGGGGCCAACCATGATGATGGGACGGCTGGGGTCCGAGGGGAGCTTGAAGTTAGAGTGGCGGATGTGAACGGGCAGGTGGGTGCCGGTGTGGCGTGCGCGGGGACCGGTGATCTGGTAGGTGAGGTCGTAGGCGTCCGAATTGGCGCGCTTGCTATGCTTGTCGGCCAGGGCGGCGAGAAAGTGGGTTGCGACGCCGCGGAAAGGCGCCTCCTGGGAGGGCAGCGCTTGAGTCTCGACGACGGCGGTGATGGCGACCTTCTTGGGCTGGACGAGGGACGAGGACGAGATGGAATAGTAGCGCGGCTGGAGCTTGTTGAGGCCTTCAATAAAGGCGGAAAAGGGGATTTTATCCCATGTCGCACCCTCGCCAAGGACGGTCAGGAACTGGGCAATGTTGTAGAAAGATGAGCCAGTCTTTTCATGGAAATAGTCCTTGTCGCTGCCAAGGCGTGTCATCTCCGTCTTGATCTTTTCAGTGGGCGAGAATGGGGCGAGAGTCGACACCATCTGGCGAGAGACGGGAGCGCAAATTTCCATGTGATAGCGGGCAATAGCATCGTAGGTGGTGGGTGTAGGAAAGGGGACCTTGGCAGTGGGTTCCAGAGCCTTGATGCTGATGACATTGTTGCGCTTGTCAGTGAGGCCGAGAGCCTTGAGGAATAGGTCAACTTGGTAACCGGCGTTGGAGGGCCAAACGGCGATGTGGTCACCGGTCTGATAGGACAGATTGGAGCCAGAGATGTCAATTTCCATGTGAATGCAGCTGCGGTCTTTGGAGTTGAAGAGCTCGCGCGTCTCGGCGACCTCGGCGGTGTATGGGTTCTGGGCGTTGTAGGGGCCTTTGGGAGTGCCCTGCAGGTAAGCCTTATTGGGCTCACCGAGGTAGACTTCCTCGGATTCAGCAGTCAGGGTATCGCGGTCGACAATGGCAAAGGTAGGCTCATAAATGGCCTCGCGCTCCTCGAGACCCATGCTTTCCGCGAGTGCAGCCCACATAGGATCCTTCCAGGCAAGGAAGTCCTCTTCCATGGTACCGGCGCCGTCATCACCTTCACCGGCGACGCCAATGCGGGTAGCGCCGAGCTTAGTAAGAGTCTCGTCGACTGCGCGAACCACCGAGTTGTAGTGCTCGTAGGTGTTGTTGCCGAGACCGAAGGCGACATACTTGAGGTTTTCGAGGGAGCTACCGTTGGTGAAGGAGACATCGTCGCCGCGAATATGCTCGTAGAATTCAACAGCGTTGTCGGTAGGCTCGCCCTCGCCGTAGGTGGCGAGGACGAACATGATGATCTTGTCCGAGGGGAATTCGTCGAGATTCTCGTAGTCGTAATCCTCGAGATCGGCCACCATGGTGTTGAGGCCGAAGCGGCTCTTGCCCTCCTTGGCGAGACGCGAGGCATAATCTTCGGCCGTACCGGTCTGGGAGCCGTAGAATACGATGCAGTTCTTGTTGGTCTCATCCATCTTCTCGATAAAGTTCCTGGTTCGACCCGGCTTTTGGCCGGCATTGGCCGCGAAGGAGCTGGCATAGGGGTCTTTGACGACGCCCCATAGCGTACCCTTGGTGAAGTAGGCAATGGTGCCCAGGAGAATGGCTCCCAGGACTATGAGATCAAGAGTGTCGAGATCGGCCATTGCGACGGTGCGGTAGGACAGGAGGAGAAGCGGCGGCGGGGGAGGGACAAAAGGAGAGGAGACGGCAAGGATATGTTGAGGCTATCCGAGGGCGGTGGAGCTGCTTTGTACGGCGACAATGTGGTCCTCACAAGATCGAAGAAAGAGAAGCAAGGGGAAATGACGCAAGAAAGAGACGCTGATGCGAACTCCAGGCACCGGCTAACGATTGCGCTCAACTCAGATCAAGGAGTGGAGGAGGTTTGAGGACAGCAAATGTGGTTTTGTTTCTGCGGGCGTGGTCGATGCTGGACTGGGATCCCGAAAGGCCAGGTGGAGTGAATGGGCTGATGGGCGAAGGAAAAAAAAATCCAGGGCTCGGCCGGAACGCTAGTCCAGCAAACCGCCGCCGACGGCGCAATAGAAATGATCAGCGTGCGTCAGTCGCAGTCATAAGACGCAAGTGCAATAACCGTTCAAATGACCAGCATCAAGTATTCCCCAGATCTTGGTCCCGTGAAGAGCTCATCATGTAAGCTATTAGACTGACATAGATCTCGTCAGTCAATTGGGGCTTCTTCCACTTGCTTGACCTCGAAACCAGGTTATCTATCAGTTGATTGGTAACTAACTATTGATTACAATGTGCTCCGTACGGATACACAGTATGGATACAAGACAAGCACGTCGAAGCCTGTGCCGATGAGCCTTCTCCAGCTGTCGACTACAACTCATGCCAATCGCCATCTCTACGATGAAAATGAAGCGATAATCCATTGTGCCCAGCCAGCTTGCCAGCTTGCAAGCCTGACCGCACGTTCAGCATGTGATTATTCCTGGCCTTCTATCGCCTTCTAATTATGCGGCGCTGGCGGAATACACTAAGACAGGGTGGCGGAAGCCGCGCCATTATCGGGCATCATCACAGTGCGCAGGGCGGATCACCCTCGTCGCATCTGACTGTACTGCGATTCCGAGATCGAGCTGGCGTAACTGCTCATCGAAAGAAATGCGATGCGCCGATTTAACGCGCGGCCGCAAGCCCAGAGAGCACAACCTGCTCGATTCATCCTCTCTTCTGCGCGGCTTTACCTACCGTTGCATTACCGGTTGGCACGGACTCGCATTTCCGAGCACCCTTCTGACGGAAACCGCATAATTCCACGGCTGAAGGCTGAAGGCTAGTCTGGGATAGTTGGGGGGGGAGGGGGGCAAGGGGACAACCCCCGCCCCAACCGTCCCAAGGCTGCCAGTATGCGAATACGGCTGTCGCATCAACCTTAACTGCACTGCGGAGTAATCCATAAGTAATACATGCTGTTAGTAACTGGGTACATCCCGCTGCGCCAGGCCATGCCGCCACAGGACCATCGGACGCGGGAACTGAAAATTGTAGCCTCCTCGCCCGTTCGGGGCCCGACCGTGGCCCGGAGACCAAGCAAGTTCGGCTTTTCCGGCGGCATGTGTAAACAGCTTCACGCGACTTAATTACCAGATGCAGTCGCGATAAAGTGAAGATGAAACTCGCAGGCCGCATGATTCTGGCTCAATACATTTGTCGACATAGCTAGGAGTCTGTTCCGGGGCCCTCGGATTCGCAGAGGCTGGCGTTCCGATCTTGGCAATAGGGTCCCGAATGTGCGAACATGCGGGGGAAGAAAAATCGTGTCGGCAACCGGGCGCTCCCCTACCATTTCCTTGATGCAAACTCGGCAAGGTGGCCAGGAACTTCATTCATGGACGTAATGAATGAAGCTGTCAGTAGAAGAAGGCAACCCCTGTTAACGCAACGCTAGATATCACTATATTTGCTGGCTTGGGGATGTATACTTCAGGCACTCCTCAACAGGTGGTGACACTATCGAAGAACTTGACTTTCGCGGACGGAGATACAATTGCCGCTGTATCGAAAAAAAAAAAACCCCTCGAGCACTGCGCCGATTCCCCGTCTTCGCCTTCATTGCCAGCCACTGCAGGTTAGGCTGCTGTATGCGCGCACCAACTGCGAATTAGCTTCTCTGATCATTTTCTACGAATATCTTCTGTCATTTTAGCACTATGAAATGTTATTCGGCCCCGTTCATGAAAAACCTGATTCATCGAGAATTTGATCGTTCAAGGTCATGCGTTGCACCGCTAGCATACCTCGCCAGTGCAATTACGTTGCTCGCTGCGGAAGCGTGGATACTCGAGCTAGCCGAGAATCATAGTCGTCCAGGCACACATCCCTCTCCCATCAATACTTTGAGAAAATTCATCCACCAAACGAGTGAAACAATAGCATATTACGTTGGGCTTGATATTGATTTGATTGAGAAGGCGGATCTTGCGCTCGAAAAGTCGCCGCCGCCGCCGCCGCCAGAGGCGCAAGAGTCGCGTTGCACCATGCATCTAATCTCTGGAGCGTTGCTCAACGGCGTCATCAGCCTCTTGCTTCAATCACAAAGCAGCTTTGCAGCGTCGAATGATGGCTTTCAAATCCCGCTTCTACTGGACGCAACACTGGACGAATTACGAGCCGGTCTTGATGCGGGCCGCTTTACCAGCGTGGACCTGACCAAAGCATACATTGCTCGTATCAACGAAGTCAACGAGGACCTCCATGCTGTCACCGAAATTAATCCCGATGCTCTGACCATCGCGGCCGTGTTGGACCGGTTCCGAGAAACGACTACAGAACCACTGAATCCACTGCATGGGATACCAATCTTGGTGAAGAACAACATAGGGACTGCAGACAAGATGAATAATACCGCTGGATCGACTGCGCTGCTGGGGGCGAAGCTCAAAGAAGACAGCACAATAATCAAGAAGCTGCGCGAAGCCGGAGCCGTTATCCTGGGCAAGGCAAATCTTTCACAATGGGCAGGATCTCGTAGCTTGCAGGCAAGCAATGGCTGGTCCGCACATGGCGGCCAAACCATTGGCGCTTATTATCCAGAACAGGATCCTGACGGCTCGTCGTCCGGCAGCGCCGTGGCCTCGTCGATCGGTTTGGCATGGGCATCGATTGGTACTCAAACGTTGGGATCGATCTGTGATGCCTCCCACGCAAACAATATTGTGGGCATCAAGCCAACGGTAGGTCTGACTTCGAGGTTTCTCGTGATTCCGCTGTCGGAGCACCAAGACAGCGTCGGACCGATGGCACGAACTGTCAAAGATGCGGCGTACTTGCTTCAAGCCATTGCTGGATCCGATAGCAAAGACAACTATACAGATGTCGCTCCAAATCCGCCGGCGGACTATGTTGCCGCGTGTAACAAAAATGCACTCAAGGGCAAGCGGCTGGGCGTACCCAAGGACTACCAGAGCATGCGTCGCTATCTCACGGCGGACGCCTCATTCGAAGCGTTCGAGTCTACTCTCCAATTGTTACGCGAGGCTGGAGCACATGTCATGGAGGATATCGAAATGCCTGGAGTGGAACTCATGAAGCAGACCGGCAGACAGGAAATCATCGGTGGCGCTGACTTCTTGACGGATCTGCCCAAGTATTTGACAGAGCTGGAGACGAACCCGAACGAGATCCACACTCTGTCCGACGTGCGCGCATTCACAGACCGATCGTCAGTCGAATCGGACAAGTTTGACTTCATGATGTTCAATATGATTCTGAAGCGCGATATTAACAATACGATGCCTATTTGGTGGGAATACTACAATGAGCAATCTTACCAGAGCAATGCCCTAGGGCTGATAGGCGCTATTCGCAACAACAGCTTGGATGCCATGATATTGCCGCCCCCTATCGCGACAGAAATAGCAGTACAAGGAGCACCGACGATTTCTGTGCCTCTGGGACATACCAACCAGAACACCCCCTATCATCGCAACGAGGTGGACACACTGAATGACATGGGGCCAAATCGCCCATTTGGGTTTGGATTTGTAGGAGATTACTTCTCGGAGGAGAAATTGATTGGAATGGCCTATGCGCTGGAACAGCTCACGCAGGTGCGCAAGACGATCAAGCCGCACATACAGCCCAGGACGGAGCTTGAGGACATCGTGGTATTCAAGAGCGAGGACCTGTAGTAAACCAAGCCGATGCTACTGGTTCCATGATGCACAGTTGTACAATGATTTACACAAGCGCGATTTCGCGCTGTATCAGTGTAGTACAATCGCTATCGGAAGCGGCCGGTCACGGAGCTCCGCCTTCCACAAAGCCCCTCCAAAGTTGTGACGGGGGCAGTGACACGATCGATTGATAGATAGTACTCTCCAATATAAAAGAGAGATTCGAGAAACTTGTCAGAACCCAAGAGGTCCCTTTATACGGTCAAGTTTGAAAAAAAAAAAAAAAACACAAAGAAAACGCCGAGGTTCTGATGTGTGGCGCGGCTACGGCTAGAAGCTTAACTGAAAATTCTTGCCCCGCGACTGCCCGCCCACCTTTAATTCTGGTGACGTGACTCAATCTTTTTCTCTTCTTTTCCCTCTTCCTTTCCTCTTCTGGAAGCGACCTTTCGGTTGTCTTGAACTGCGTTTACTTTGGATGAATTTTATTGTTCCTTCTTTTCGCCTCTCTACTTCCTCAGCAATAATTCTTCTTGCTCACTATGACCACTATCATTCTGGGCTCCCAGTGGGGTATGTCGCAAATTTGTTGTCAGCAAAACGCCCCTCATGGAGGGGCTTGGTCGCGATGACGACGAGGACATCAACAGCTAACTAACAGATCGCGCCATGATGAATAGGTGACGAAGGCAAAGGGAAAATCAGCGATATCCTCTGCGGCGAGGCTGATCTGTGCGCTCGCGCCGCTGGCGGCCACAATGCGGGACACTCGGTTCAGTGCGTTCGCGACTCTCTCCCTGGCACAAACGCCCATTGAGCCTTGCTAACTATCTGGTGCGCAGTGCCAATGGAGTGTCTTACGAGTACGAAACCTCCGAAGCGACACTGACGGTCTAAGATAAAAGATGCTAATCGCGCATATAGCTTCCACCTACTGCCCTCTGGTCTCATAAGCCAGCGCTGCGTGAACCTGATTGGTTCGGGCGTTGTCTTCAACGTCAATGCCTTCTTTTCGGAACTGCAGGCGCTAGAGGACAAGGGCCTCAAGAACGTGCGCGAACGAATTTTCGTTAGCGACCGCGCTCAGGTCAACCTTGATCTGCACGCCCGTGTCGATGGTCTCGAGGAGGCTGAGCTTGGCAATCGCAAGATTGGCACGACTGGTAGAGGAATCGGGTGTAGTTATTCCAAGTTTGTCATCTTCAACCCCTATATGCCATTCATGGCCGTACTGACGACTTTTGCAGCAAAGCCGCTCGCAACGGTATCCGAGTCCATGAAATCTTCAATGAGGCGCGTTTTGAGGAGAAGCTTCGCATACTGGCGGCCGGATACAAGAAGCGCTTTGGTGACCTTCTCGTATACGACGTTGAGGAAGAGCTCAAGAAATTCCAAGAGTGGCGTGATAAGCTGGCACCCTTTTGCGTGGATGCCGTCACTTTCATGAAGACTGCTCAAGACGACCCCTCCAAAAAGATCCTGGTTGAAGGCGCCAATGCCCTTATGCTGGACGTGGACTACGGCACATATCCTTACGTCACCAGCTCCAATACAGGTCTTGGCGGTGCCATCACCGGTCTAGCTTTGAACCCGACCAAAATCAAGGAAGTCATCGGGTATGTAGAGTTGTAGCATTTGCGTCACAACTAGTACGAGACAGGCTGACCTGAGTAGTGTTGTCAAGGCGTATACGACTCGTGTCGGCGCCGGAATCTTCAAGACCGAGGATCTCGGCGAACATGGTACCAAGCTCCAAGAAATTGGCCGCGAATGGGGTGTGTCAACCGGCCGTCGCCGCCGCTGCGGCTGGCTAGACCTCGCTGTACTCCGGTTTTCGTGCGCTGTCAACCACTACACGGCGTTGAACTTGACCAAGCTCGACATTCTCGACACCTTCCCCGTGATTCAGGTTGCTGTCGCGTACAAGGACCCTGAAACGGGTGACTTGATTGACTTCTTCCCTGCCGATCTTGAATACCTTGAGAAATGCGAGGTCGTGTACGAAGAGTTCAAGGGCTGGAACACACCCATCACCTCGGTCAAGAAGTATGAGGACTTGCCTACGGAGGCTCGAGAGTACATCGAGTACATTGAAAAGTTCTTGGGCACCCCCGTCAAGTGGATCGGTACTGGACGTAAGCTTATTCGCTCGACCTTGAATTGATGGATGCCGCTGACCATTCCATAGCCAACCGCGACGACATGATTTTCCGGTAAAACATGCGACGACACCGGTACCTTCTTATTTCCTTTGTCGGGTTTGCTACATTGATTTATTGTTTCAGGCGCAAGGCCGTCAACAAAGTTTTAGACATGATATAGACATGCTGCACGTTGAAATGGAAAAAGGAGCCGGGGAGAGTAGAGCGGCGAGGCATACTGGTCTTTTACACAACAAACTTCTTCGCCTTGTGCTGTGTTGGCAAAAACACGAAAAGCTGGCACTTAAATTTCAAAAAAGAAACCCCGAAAAGTCATAGTGTCGATAGACGGTCCGAGTTTTAGCATGTCAGTTATTCTCGAACTTTTTTAAGCCTTAAAAATGGATGTGAGTCGTGACCATACGTCGTTCGGACTTGTTACGTTTCTCTTAATCCACACACACTTGAACTCAATCGATCAGCCGCTGAACACGTCAGCCGAGTATGTATGTACATGCCGTCGGGTCATAAACGTTTTATAGTTTGTATCATTTACCCCGCACCCACCCCTCATCCGTTGTTCCGCGCGATGGCAAGGCTGCCTTGACCTTGTATTTGTCATGAGACAAGCTGACATGGCGTGTGGCTGCAACAAAAAAGTGCCTTGTTCCAAAAGAAGAGCGCTGACGATCTCGTTGTGTGGTGATTTGAAAACCTGAGTCGTTGATGAAATAGCACAAACAAAGATAGCTCTTGCATCGTTCTGGGACCAATAATACTGTTGTTGATGCCCCCCGTGTCAAGACGAGATTCCCCCCCGGCAGACATGTATGCTGACATTAGCAAACCTCCTGCGCCGCTGCCTTCAGGACAGCTTCAGAAATTGGAGTTGGGCATCTCGCTGCAGCCGCCGCTTACGAGACGTGGATTGGGCCCTGGCCTCATTCTTCTCACGACTGCACACGAGTATGACGAAGACAGGACGCATTGGGACGATGCGCCGACTCCAGTGATTAAATGGGCGGAGGAGGGATACGCGGTGGTTCAGATTTCTGCTGCCGCGATTGAGTCGCTCGGTGCTGAGGAAGCCTTTTCTGTGGCTATTGCCGCTCTGGGCAGCTGCGACGCTTGTCAGCCAAAGGACAAGATTGGTTTGGTGTGTAAGTCGCAAGAAGCAGGCTTGATGAATTGCTGTTTTGGAATGCTTACATTTGCGTTAGGCTTTCGCTCGTCCTTGTGGAATACAGCTGTACCGGGTCTGGGCAGCTTTCCCAGCATCTCCGCAGCCGTCATCTACATGGATGAGCAAAATTCGGCGGACCTCTTATCAGCCGCAGTACCATCGCTAAAGCACATTGTTGGAAGTGCTGCAAAGCCTAGCCTAGGAGCTGGTTCCAAGGAATATCGCTATCCCGACATCAAGGGAAGCCGGTGGTTCAGCCCCGGCCACCCCGACTTTGACTACCGGTCAGACTCCATCGCGCACACGAGAAACTTGCAGTTTTTAAAGCCAAAGATGGACGGACCCTATTTTGACCTGGAAAGTATCTGGGAAGAGCACACGTACTATGAATTTGCCGACCGCTCAGTAGAGCACACCATGAGCACAATGGTGCAGGAGCCATACGTCAATGATATCCCGACTGTACGCACAAACAGGCCCTGTTATATTGCAGACTTTTGAACTGGAAACATGGCACTGACGATTTTTTTAATGCAGTTGACTGGTGGCATTGGAAGACTCAAGCTCACAGACTTTTACCGAAACAACTTCATTTTCAACAATTCGGCTGACGCGAGCCTCGAGCTTGTAAGCCGGACCCTTGGCATCGACCGCGTGATTGACGAATTCATCTTTAAATTCACGCATGACCGCGAAATCGACTGGCTGTAAGTTTTCTATTTACCCCATGCATTTCCGTTCTTGCACCCCCCCCCCAACAC